TAAATGAGGCATTAGTTTTTGTTTTCTCCTTGCTTGATAGTTCCTGATAACTAAAAATATATCTTCTTTATTGGCCGATTTTATCGTAATTTGTTAAAACTAATTTGATTTTTCTATCCTAACAAATACTAATTTCTTTTCGTGAAATAATATATTTGTACCAGGTTTATTTCTTTTTGTGCAATTGTATGCATCATAACCAAAGTTATTTAAATGTTGTATGCTAAATGCAAAAGCAAAGTTATGTATAAAAGTTTTTTTTTGCTAACTAGTTGTTATGACTTGACTTTTTAAAAAGAAAAGCGTTTTTATAGCTAAGATCACATCAATAGTTTCTAATGGTCTAAGAACTTATTAGTTATGCCATTTGTACAGCGTTAAGTACATATGTCTGTAAGTCTAAACGTTTGCAGGCAGTATTTAGAACATTTGTGTATAATATCAATAAAATGATAAAATTTTAAAATTTTACTTTAGCAGATTGAATTTTTTTCTTTATTTTTATATTACTTTTATAAATATATAAGCAAGATTGAAGAATTTTCAAAATTTATCACGCTAAGGAATGATGTTAGCAAAACGACACTGATGACAGTGCATTAAATAGCTGAGCTATATTTTAGGAGAAAAGCAAAACCAATTATAAGTATTTTACAAGCTTTTCATATACGGAATTAAAAAACCCGCTTTATTCAGGCAATATTTTAAAATTTTTTCTTTCTTATGTCATTAACATAATTAAAATTTCAAATTTTAGTGTTGAATCTTTTTTAATTACAAATATAGTTAAACTTCAAACATTGTAATTTAGTAACGGTATTTCGCTAGCTAGATATACTGTTACTAAATTGCAGTTTTTAGTAAGCAATTATTACGATATGACGCTAATTACAAGTTGCATTTGTTTAGCTGGCTTCTAGATAGCGATATTTTTGTAGCTAGTCGATAGCTACATATTACAGCTTTTTAGCCATCAATTTTTTACGATCTTTTGCATGCTACGTATCTTAGCTTTTCAGCTAGGTAAAACTTGAAGCCTTCAACATTACAAAATATCTATAGCTACTTGATGGCTTTATATCTCGGCTTTTTTGCCATCAATTTTAATACAATATTTTACAAGGTAAACATCTTCGTTTTGTAATCAGTTACTAAATAGCCAAAAATTTATAGCTAATTGATAACTACATATCACAGCTTTTGTCCAGCCACTTTTTTACCTTATCTAGAGAACTACATATAGCGCCTTTATTTACTATAGGTAATAGTATAATCTATAGTTGATATAGGCGTGAAATATAGTTTTTGAGATCGTAATAAAGTCAATATAAAGTCAATGAACAAAAACTTTGATATATATATATATATATATATATATATATATATATATATATATATATATATATATATATATATATATATATATATATATATATATATATATATATATATATATATATATATATATATATATATATATATATATACTTTAACTATAACATTTGTTACTTTAATTCATAATTCCTGTTTAAGCAATTAACGTAATTGCTATTCGAAGTTAAAACGATAATGTCACAATCCATTAAATCCTTCATTAGATTTAATTTTTTTATAATTTAAAATATTTTTTTATTTTATTTATATATATATATATATATATATATATATATATATATATATATATATATATATATATATATATATATATATGTATGTATGTGTGTGTATATATATATGTATATATATATATATATATATATATATATATATATATATATATATATATATATATATATATATATATATATATATATACATATACATATATATATATATATATATATATATATATATATATATATATATATATATATATACATATACATATATATGTATATATATATATATATATATATATATATATATATATATATATATATATATATATATATATATATATATATATATACATATATATGTATATATATATATATATATATATATATATATATATATATATATATGCATATATATATATATATATATATATATATATATATATATATATATATATATATATATATATGCAACACTGAGGTGTCACGTGATTTGATTATATTTGTGAATAAATTACGTATCATAAAAATGCATAGATAAAAAAACGAGTATAGAGGTATCATTTTTATGATACGCAAGCTCATCATAAATATGATTTAACTACATTTCATAAAAGTGCATGGGTTAAGAAACGAGTCTAGATGCCCCACCTTATGCGTTTTTGTGGATTGTACATGCAAAATGCAACTCTACTTTTCCAATAGTAAATTCATCAGTTGCAATGTTATGAGATGGGACAAAAGTTCTAGAATTTTCAACGTTTAAAGGGGAAATTTGATAATTTGCAAGATATTAAAGTCGGCTAATTAAGGAATCACTTTAACTATAACATTTGTTACTTTAATTCATAATTCCTTTTTAAGCAATTAACGTAATTGCTATT